GCGCACTGTCAGTGCGAGCCCGACGGCAGGATGTTGCTCAGGGTGGACTGCTCCGACCTGGGGCTCTCGGAGCTGCCCTCCAACCTCAGCGTCTTCACCTCCTACCTGTAAGTGCACCCGTACCTCACTCCGGGAAGGGGGCTAAAGGGGAGGGGACCCGTTCCGAGCCGAAACTAGGGGCTCCTGGGCGCCAGCCGCCTTCGAGGGGGCGGGCGAGTTGCACGGGCATCCCGGCTAGACCCGCTTCGGGCGGGGGGAGGCACGTGTCTCCGGGGAGCGCGCCCGCACTGTCGGGACCCGCGGAGCAGCGACTTCACCTCACCCCGGGATGGAGCTGCTGCGCCGCCGCTAGGCACGCAGCAGGGCGAATTCCTACAAATGTAGGCATTTGTGCGCAGGAACCTCAAGGGCTCAAGGGCTAAAGGGCTACTTGCCGGACTGGTCCCTGTCCCAGCCTCCTCTGTGTGTCCAGTCGCGAAGAGCCGGACTGTAAAGTTTCCCCGGCTCCAAAGGGACTCACTCTGCATCCCTAGCACAGCAGGATGATGTAACCTTTTTCTTTCTTTCTTTTTTTCTTTTCTTTTTTTCTTTCTTTCTTTCTTTTTTTTTTTTTTTTTTAACGAAGTGATTAAAATGTGGCAACCACAAACCCCGATTAGAGCTTCCAGAACGTTATCTTTACCTTTGGCTGCCCGAGCCGCCCTTTGAAGTGCCGGCGGCCGCAGTGTAATCTTTAACCATCTCCTCCCCTGGGGGGAGGAAAGGGAAGTGGGCCGAGGGCGGCCAGGCGGGTAAACAGCGGCGCCAACGTGCAAGGGGGGACCTGAAGCTCTCTCTGATCCCTTGGGGATCCTCCCACCCGTTCTTCCCCTACTGTAGCGGTTCATTTGGTAACATTTTCTCTGAAAAGCTCAGGAGAGGGTAACAGGTGGCTGAGTAGATGGAGGAAGTCAGATGAAAACTTATTGTAGAAATCGAGGTGACTGCTCCCCCTAACTCCTTGCCAAGACATGGGGCTGCATTCCTCTCGCCAAGAGACCAGGGTCCAGGCCCTCTGGAAAATGGGCGCTCCTGACCAACCACAAGGTGACAGACACATTTAGAGTCCAGTGTAAGAAATCGCAGTGAACCCATCCCAAATCTGTTTAATCCCAATTTCGGCTTCTCTGATGTACCTTGGCAGGAGTGAGTTGGGATGTTTGGGTACTCATTTTTCCTGTTTGGTTGTTTTCTGGAGGAAAAACACAGAAAGAGGCTTACACAATGTTTTCTACTAGGTAGTAATGGCTTTTTTCTGGTGAGGAAGAGAAAAAACTTTTTTTTTAAACTTGCTTCAATATTGCATCTAAAGAAAATGAACACTTTGCAAGGTTTTAGTATTGTTAGATGGCAGTCACCTCCCTGTCTACTATGAAACTGTTTCTGGTTGTATTTTTTTTTTTAATCTGAATGGGATTAGGTTTCCCTTCAATGTCACTTATTGTGCGCAGTAGTGATATTTTTCCAGGGATAGAAATCTGCTTTCCAAAACTATCATTTCCTCACAGCAAAATACACATCCCCATCCTCTCTGGTTTAACTGCTAATGTCAATGATTCAAAGATGATAATGTATTCTCCAGAACAGTGAATTTCTGAGACCAGTTTGAAAGTTTCACTTAAAAGCCTGAAGAAATTTGTCTATATACAAATGAAATGTGAAATCACCAAACACTTAGCTACTACTTAAATCATACATCTAATATGAAATAACTCTTAAAATGTAGTAAATAAAATTATGAATAGCATGAGGACATTTTCTACTACTTAAGAGAATGAACATTTGTTAGGCTTCTGTTACTTAAAGCCTTAAAATTCTGCTTTAAACTATGTTCCACATACCTCAAATGCATTTAACTCTGTGTGCTCAGGAGAATTTACTGCCACCTACTGCCACTGTTCAAGGGACAGTCCTTAGAGGGAATCCCTTCAAGTTAAAGTACTCTGAGGAAGTGAACTGTTACCTTACTCTCACGCTGCTTGAAGACAGTGTGTACCCAGTTTAAGAGAAGGTTTTCTCAGTTCCCTATAACACCCTAAACTCAGAATGTCGGCGAAAAGTGACACGGTGATGCTAAATACTTCCTACTGAGGGCTTACATCTCAGGGACTGTGAGCACTGAATGCGGAGATCAGTCCCAAAGTGAAGAACCAACCTGAGGCTCTCTGTAATGTGCATGATTGGTCTTCTGATAAAGTATAAAATGGATGTCCTCTCATCAAGGGTTGAAGGTCTTTTGTGTTTGCCCTTACAACCACAGGAGCTCTGTGATGCCCTCTTTTGGTTAAACCTAAAATTAGCTTACAGTTTTGGCCTTGTACGGTCATAATCTAAGAGAGAAATTTCCATTTCCTCATAT